CTTGAGAAAAAGCCAAAGGTCAGCTCCATCACTTCCGTCATTTTGAGGCAATCTTTGTTTCATTCACATCTTGTTGGTATTGTTTTTTTATTTTTGTTTTTTAATAAAAAATGAACCATCAATGTGTTATGAAAGCTTATTTTGTCATGTAACTAGAGACAAGCAAAACATTAAATGGAAATATAACAATGTAAGCATACATGAACACCCACTGTTTACTGTCTGGGATTTCTGCAGTGTGAAAGCTAAATTACTGAAAGTTCCTTTCTAGTTACTTAGAACTTCACTAGAGATCCTTAGAAGTGAGAAATTCCAATAAACAGGTTGCGTCCTGTCGTTTGAATTGCTGTTACAGTTTAAAAGCAAGGTCATGTTTAAGAGTATAGACTAAATTTAGATAACTGAGAAAGTCATGTCTAATCTCAAATCAAACATTTGAAGAAGGTATGAGGTGATTGCATAATTATAGGAGGTGATGTTAACACTGAAATGTGTTATTATATTATTAATTACACTAAGTTGAAAAGTCTGGGGTAGGAGTAGGATTTTTAATGTTTTTTTGAAAGAGGTCTCTTTTGTTCTTAGACATTTACACTTAACATTTTAAACTAAATGGCCTGGATCTGTGGATTTGGAAATGATCATAAAATAGGTATGATTAAATTTCAAGGTAAAACTGTTGTTGATGTTTTTTGTTTTGTTTTTAGCTAAAAGAATATTAAAATTATAATGAATAGTTGCATAATCTTCCTTTGTGAAGGAAAAAGTGTATTGTGCTTGTATGTGATCTCTCAGTAGGCACTTTTACCACAGTTTTGGTAGTTTAATGTCTTAACATGGTATACAATATTTTTAGTTTGTAATGTTTTTATTACATAGCAGACAACAGGGTGTGTTGCAGAGATTATAATTAATTGATACTGCTAGCAATATATATTATACATTACTTATTAGATCCTTTTACTAACTTGTTAATGGTCATTTAGTTTTTATTTAGTTATGTTTAAAATTAATTGTTGATGGATTGAGATACATTTAAATAATTTATGTTTAATTATCAGTTAATTGGATGGTTAACACTTATTGATGTATTACTACATTGGATAATTAATTGATAACCTAACTGACCATTGATTGAATTATTAATTGTTTTATTTTTTTATTTTTTTCCACAGGCCATGGCCATGGCTTCTTTCCTAGTAGCTTTGGTGCATTTGGCTCTATTTCCATCAGCATTTGGAGGTGCATATTATGGACACAAACCACATCCTCAACAACATCAACCCTTACCACAGATGCCTCATATGGGCATGGGAAAGGATATGTCACACATGCCATATCCACACTACAAAAAAGACCTACCAATGCACCTAAACAAAGGCAAAGATATCAAAGGTATGAAAACTTGTGTATCTTAGCACTTGTAGTCATATTATATATGGTATACATGGCATTGTAGTACTGACCCTGCCTTTCCCTTACAAAGGTGAAACCATTCCCAGAGGTGAGCAGGGTGTTCAAGGAGAGACTGGACCGCAAGGGCCCCCTGGTCCACCTGGGCCCCAAGGACCTCCTGGGCCTCAAGGTATTGGTATACAAGGCCCTCTTGGAAAGCCAGGACCTCCTGGTCCTCCAGGATTTCCGGGAGTTGGTAAGCTAGGAATGCCAGGTATGCCCGGGAAGCCAGGAGGTATTGGGCAGCCTGGACAGCAAGGTGAACAGGGACCCAGAGGTGGAGAGGGACAACCAGGCATGACTGGGCCACCCGGCCCTCCTGGACCCCCCGGCCTGCCAGGAATAGGAAAGCCTGGTGGACAAGGATTACCAGGACAGCCAGGGGCAAAGGGAGAGCCAGGACATAAAGGTTTTCCTGGTCTCCGAGGGTTACCTGGGCCTAAAGGAGACAGAGGAATTGGACAACCAGGCCCACAAGGGCCAAAAGGGTCGATTGGGCCACTTGGCCCCCCAGGGCAGGCAGGATTACCGGGGGTCAGTAAGCCTGGCCTTCCTGGTGTAGCAGGTCCACCTGGTATGCCAGGAAAACCCGGAGAGCCTGGGGAGCCAGGTCCAGAGGGTCCACCTGGTGGACAAGGCCTACAAGGACCACAAGGAGCCCCTGGTATTGGAGTTCCAGGAGAAAAAGGATTACCAGGACAGCCAGGTGCACCTGGCCACAAAGGATTACAAGGACCACCAGGTTTGCCTGGGAAACCTGGATTACCTGGAATTGGCAAACCTGGATACCCTGGCCCAAAGGGTGACAAAGGGATGGGAGGGCTTCCTGGTCCTCAAGGACCAAAAGGAGACAAAGGTTACACTGGTCAACCAGGCATGACGGGTCCCCCTGGTCAAACTGGTCCTCCGGGCCCTCCAGGAACAATGGGGGCACCAGGAGGAATTGGTTCCCCAGGACTAAAAGGAGAGGGAGGGGCAGAAGGAGCCAAGGGAGATCCTGGACCTATGGGACAGCCAGGTCCTCCAGGATTTCCTGGTCAACCAGGCCTCCAAGGTGAAGATGGAGAACCTGGGCCAAGAGGACCACCAGGACCCATAGGTCCCAAAGGTGAAGGAGGAAGCAGAGGTCTGCCTGGTCCCCCAGGTTCATCTGGCTTACCTGGTCTTAAAGGAGAACCTGGTCAGACTGGCCCTGAAGGACCACAGGGTCCTAAAGGTATTCCAGGACTTGCAGGTCCAGGAGGACCAATTGGGCCTCCTGGACCTTCCGGGCCAAAGGGAGAAGCTGGTCCACCAGGTCAAGCTGGTCCACCTGGTGAAGGCATTGCTGGAATCCCTGGTCGTGTTGGTCCAGCAGGTCCACCTGGCCCAAATGGATCCCCAGGTCAGCCAGGACTCCCAGGTCCAGCGGGGCCTCCTGGACCCCCAGGCCCCCCTCCTTCTCCTGACCTGATGGGTGTTCTTCCTGAGATGGGCCCTGCCATAGATGGTATAAAAACTGGTGGGTACAAGAAAGGGAAGTATGCAGGTGGGGGTAATATGATGGGTGCCAATGGTCTGGAGATGCCTGCTTTCACTGCCAAATTGACCACACCATTCCCTCCAGTTGGCACGCCAATAGTGCTTGACAAATTACTGTATAATGGGCGTCAGAATTACAACCCTCAGACCGGTGTGTTCACCTGTGACCTCCCAGGCATCTACTATTTTGCCTATCATGTGCACTGCAAGGGTGCCAATGTATGGGTTGGGCTCTACAGGAATGGGGAGCCACTTATGTATACATATGATGAGTACAAGAAGGGATACCTGGATCAAGCATCTGGGAGTGCTGTGATTCCATTACAACCAGGAGACACAGTTTATTTACAGTTACCATCTGACCAGGCAGCTGGATTTTATGCAGGACAGTATGTCCACTCTTCCTTCTCTGGCTTTTTACTGTACCCAATGTAGACCACAAGAATAAGTGAAATAATTTTAAGGAGAAAGAGGGGAAGAAAGAACTGACATTAAAATATTTGACTTTTAAAAAAATGTCAGTATTTTCACAAGGAAGAAAGAAGACTCATAGAAACAGCTCCTTTAAACACAACCAAACAATATCAATCTACAGACTGTATGAGTATATGCAATGCTAAATTACAGAATACTGTGTCTGTAAAGATACAACCTGCACAAAGACTCTCACAGATTGTAGTAAGAATATTCAATTCCATACCACATTTAAACAGATTTTTGAAAAGATTGTTTTTGTAACATATTTATGTATTTGTTTAATTGGTGGTATCCAACATGAGTATACATGCTTTAAAATGTTTAGAACACTATTTTTAATGACATTTGCATGATAACTAATGTATTCGCTTTGAATGAGATGAGAAAAGCCATTCAGTTTTTCAAAAATATCACATATCATGTTTCTCTTTCTTTATCAATGATTTAAAAAAATGTTAAAGGTTTTGCACACTTGTAATATTATAACATAACCTCTGTGTGAACTGCAACCAAATGATAAATTTGTGTGTGTGTGTGTGCGTGCGTGCGTGCGCGTGCGTGCGTGCGTGTGTGTGTGTACATGAGCATGAGCATGAGAGAGCATGTGTGTATGTGCTAGATTTTATTTTAGCCAAACTCCCCGCCCCCCAAAAAGATTAGTTTTAAACTTTAAATATTAATTTGTCTGAAAACCACTTCTGTTTCTATAATGAACTTTCATCAAAATTATAGTTTTACTCACAATACTTTAAATCTCATGATCATCAGTCATATATATCACATCACTTCCTTTGTTTCTACCCTATTCTGAATTCAACTGCTGGCTTTTCAACTGTTGGATGAAATTTTACCCTTTTTTGACTACTGATTGTATAATAACCTTTGTTTTTATATGTCGGTCATTGGTTCAAACATTGTCTAATCCAATGAAAATCCGTTTGAGTACCTCCCACCCCCTTTTATTTTCATTTGTTTCTGACTTTTTCTTTGAATTTTTTAATAAAGATGATTTACATCCATAACTGTATGTCCATCAAATTCTTGTACTCTAATTTTGTTACAATGACATGAAATAAAATCTTATTACCATGTATGAAATTAGGTACTCTAAAGATTAGGTGATCTCTTGCAGTTAAACTCTGCACCTAAATTCTATGCTAATTTATTAGTCATTTAAAAATGTAACAGTTTCTATTGTGAATAATAGGCCTACTATTCAATACTAGTAATTATTGTGGTAACTTTATCTCTTAGTCATCAACAAGAGAGAAAAAAAAGATTGTAAAATATTCTTTGAACTGTCATTTTATTATGCTCACGTTCTATGATAACCTCCCTGAACATGTCCTAATCAATATTCATAAGCCTAGCCTTCACCATAGTATGATGGATTCGTCAGCTGTTACATCCTCTTCTTTCAGGAAATCAGAATGGTCAGGAACCTATTCAATATTCATGAGCCAAACCAACGCATCCGGCTCAGTAGCTACTCGGTGATGCTGAGGATGCGCAGACCGAGATGCTGCGCAGACCGAGATGCTGCGCTGTCAAATCACATTGCGCGGAGGGGCGGAGAGATTCTTTATTGCCCTGTTTGTGCGCATGAGCAACATATTATTGCCTTCATTGATAAAAATCCTTTGTGTTAACATTTCCTCATCAAATCTCACTGTCGCTTTTGGCGCGTTTCATCACTTCATACGGTAAGTCATTTATTAAAAGGCGCATCGCATGAAATAACTACTTTGAATTTACAGTGATCCGTCTGTCAGTTCAAACAGTCAAATTATCCTTCATCCGGAAACCGGACGCTAGATGTGCCTATATGGTCTTAAATAGTCCATTTTTTTGATGCCTTTATTTAATTATTGTAAATAGACATATATCTGTATGCTTCACCTTTTATGTTTATAAACGTGAAATTCACACGCTTTGCTTGGGCTATATGTCGGGTTTAATTTTTAATGTAAGGTTGCGCAGATGTTCAGATATTACAGGACTATGTCATTTATCTATACTGGGACCCTGTATTAGATGTTACAGTAGTTATTGTGTGGCTTGATGCATTACATTTTGAATACTTCATTTTAGCATTTTTGAGATATTTCTAAATATGCTCTGTACATTAAAAGTTGCAATTTGCAAAATTAATATGTCATGTGTTGGGGTCTGTGAATAGCATATACTGTATTTACACGTTGTTACAGTCATCTGGAAAATCGGCAATGGCATCACGTGCGGGCCCAAGAGCTGCAGGGACTGATGGGAGTGATTTTAAACATAGAGAGAAAGTGGCTTCTCACTATCAGATGAGGTAACTAACCCTTATACTCTCACAGCAATATAACATAACCAATAACTGCATGTATGTATATATCAGAATATGTATCTGAACTTTGATGTCTTTCAGTGCTTCACTGAAATCAGAGATAAAGAAGCTCACCGTAGTGCATTTCTTCATATGGATACTGGTGGCGGCTCAGGTGGCTGTTAGTCATCTCAATCTGGTGTCACATGATCTGGTGGCCATGCCCTATCAGTGGGAGTATCCATACCTTTTGAGTCTCCTGCCCTCGTTTATTGGAGCCCTGGCCTTGCCAAAGAACAACATCAGCTATCTGGTGATCTCCATGATCAGTGCTGGTTTGTTCTCAGTGGCACCCTTGATTTTTGGTGCAATGGAAATGTTTCCACTGGCCCAGCAGCTGTACCGACATGGAAAAGTTTACCGGTTTATCTTTGGTTTCTCGGCCGTATCTGTGATGTATCTACTCATGGTGATCGCTATTCAGGTGCACGCATGGCAAATCTACTACAGCAAGAAGCTTCTAGATGCCTGGTTCAACTCAACACAAGAGAAGAAGAAGAAATAAACATGCTGTTGTATACTTGAATTTGTCTCAGTCTCAGTTGTTACTGTACTATGCATGCAATTATTATAAATGTTTAAATATTTACAATTTAAATGTACATTTGTAAGCTAACAAAGCTTAATATCTGGACTTTTTACATTTATTCACATATGTTAAAATTATGTTTACCTTTTTAAATTGTTTACCTTTTTTAGTTTTAACGTGTTATTTAAAACCTGAAATTCTGTTTGATTACAAAATGTTTAGTCCATGTCAAGAATACAGAGCCATTCATATCATTTTTATTACTTTATAATAAAATAAAAAATAAATAAAATATTTCTTAAAATATTTTCTTGTCATTTATTTCAAACTAATTATTTCATTTTAAGCTTGAATTGAAAAAAATCTAGCATGATCTATATCAGTTTTTTTAGCTTGCATTATCAATACTTTCTTTTATTATTTTGGTTGTAAATTGTTTTGATTTGGCTATTCAGAAATCTACTTCTGACACAACACTTTCACACATTATTTTGTATAGACTAGGAGGTGCTACATCAGTATCTGGTGAGAGGGAAGAGAAATCTAAAATATTTTACCTTATGTGAACAGAGGCTTCAATAAACCTATAAAGCTTTATGTCTAATTGATCATATATATATATATATATATATATATATATATATTTTTTTTTTTGTTGTTGTTTTTTTAACTCTTGTAAAAACTGTAGATTATTTGTGGTTAATATGACGATCCCTCTAGTGGGCTAGATCAAGAAAAAATGCTTCTTACCCAAACAAAATTTGTAAAACAAACACAACAGACTACAGAGAAAAAAAAGAAACAAAAATGTGAATTAAAAAAACTGATTAGACCCCATTATATCTTTGGCAAACAGTATGGTTAAATTCATATTAAACACATTGTCACATAGTCATAGGCCTATCACTTTACAAGAATCAGGCTCATAGCCTACTAGATAAATTCATTGAAACTTCAATCAGTTTTATGTTTAAATGGACAGATTAATTTAATATTAAATACATTTATATTATTTTGGTTAACAAAATGCAGTCAGACGCCATATAGGCCACCTCATGATGAGTAGTAATTAAATTTACAAGACAGTGTAAGCAGTGTCCGGATAGCGCGCATGCGCGGTTGTGGTTTTGCCACGTACAGGTCGCTGTGAAGCGTTTCCGATCATCAGTCAGTCAGGCGTCGTTCAGCTAAAGTCCAGGACACACAAGGCTGCTGCTGGGATTGACACGTCCAAACCACCAGGTAGAGACGCGGGGCTTCTCCTACAAACATGTACATACTTTCATATAGTCACTTTAGAGTTTTTTAAGGCACCTCTGAAAATGAACCATTAGTGGTTAGCCGGTTGTCAAGCAAACTAGCATTAGCTTAGCGTAGCTTAGCTTGTGAGAAACTAGGGCAAGCTAAATAGAAAAAAAACAAAAACAAGAGAGACGTTTTGTACAAAAGTCAGTGTTTTTAAGCCACTAAATGGCGTAATTAAATAATCGTATTTAAAACACAGGAATAATTGTTGCTGTAATTCAATTGAGATTTGATTACAGTATTTCATAATTTTACGCCATTCAGAGCTTTATTTGGCAGGAAGTTGCTGCATCATCAGGTGAACGAGGCCTGATGAGATGATTTAAATGGATCATTCTTTGGCAAGACATTTAAACGTCATGCTGGTGCGATGATGGGAAATGGCCTGATGTGTGTTGTGATCCAGAAACCACATCTTTTGCTCTTATAATAAGAATTTCTGAGTAAGCTGATGACTCTTCATATTTACATTACATTTACATTTAGTCATTTAGCAGACGCTTGACAAATAAGACACGAGTAAATGCAAATGCATTTGCCATGCATTGACAGTTTTCCAAGCAGCCAGTTCCTTTATAGTTTTGACATTTTCTTAATTCAGCGGGCAACAAGTCAAGAGTTTCAGTCATGATGGCTGTCATTAAGTTCCATATGAGATAAATACAGGTCTGTCTACATGCTGCAGAGTACCAGGATGAATGATGGGTAAACTAATCAGAGTAGGAGATAAGATTGTCCCTGATTGATCACACACACTCAAACTGTTTGTATTGTGATCTAAATCCCAAAATGTTTCTCCCAATAATCATGCTTGAGGCCAAAGTCTGAGTTAAGAATGATTGTAGGCCATCTGCATGTGCCAAATCATCTTATATCTCATGACCCTTAGACATTTATAGTATGTCCCAATAATGTACAGTAGCACTTGTTCAGATATAACCTCATAGATGAGACATTAGACTATGGGTTTCCAAGTAAGACATAAGTCATTCACTGACATTTTTATATTCATAACAAAAGCAGGGGAGTTAGCGGTGAGTGAAGCAGACACTCATTGAGATACAAATATCAGATTTCATGGTTAACTTGTGTTGCGAGTGGAATTCTGTGCTTCTTATAGAAGAACTTAATAACGGTGCCTTCACAGATCATGTCATTGGTTTTACGCTGGTCTGTTAGCTCTGCATATGCCTACATTTAATGTAGGCCTAGTTATCACTGCTGCAGCTCTGATAGTGTGTTTGGTTTCAGTTTGTTCCTGTACTATCAAATGACGTCTGATGGGCATGTGATGTATTAAATAGTGATAAATATTCTGCTTCTTTAATAAACTTCCTAATAGTAAAAGTGTAGTTTTGACTGTAGAAACTGGAATTTTTTTTCTTCAATGGATTTTGAGTATTGTTCATTTAATTTAAATTTTAATCTCAATTTTGTGTTTCATTTGCCATTGTACTAAATTGGATAATAATGGCAGAATAATGGCATTGGTCTTGGCTGATGAAAAGCATATTTTTAGTTTATCTATAAATATATTAGACAATATTTTAAATAAAATTGTACTTTTTTCCAGCAGTATGAATGGCCAGCTGGACTTGAGTGGGAAGCTGATCATTAAAGCTCAGCTGGGCGATGATATCCGCCGTATCCCCATCCACAATGAAGACATCACCTACGACGAGCTCCTGCTGATGATGCAGCGAGTCTTCCGTGGGCAGCTACAGAGCAGCGATGAAGTTACCATCAAATATAAGGATGAAGGTCAGTTTTGGACTTCAAAACGTGCATGTATCATAAATTTACCAACTTATAAGGTTATAGTAACTGGACACCATGCATATGTATATTTAACCGTTTTTTATCAGTCATGTAGAATAAAACTATAAGATCTGTACACCTATAGATGTTCTTAATAAACCTTCTTAGGGGGTTTTGGTATAGATCTCATACTCTCTACTGATTTTACATGTGGTACAGTTTTAGTTAGGTTCAACTGCAGCTCTGGAAGTACTGCATTCATTCTCTCTTTTTTGGCTCTCTTCCAGATGATGACCATATCACCATCTTTGACAGTTCTGATTTGTCCTTTGCAATCCAGTGCAGTAGAATATTGAAGCTCACTCTTTTTGGTAAGAAATCAGCACTGCTTAAGGGTTTTTGCTCATCCTGATGTTAAGGAATATTTCTGCACAAAGATACCAGGAAGGAGCATGAAATGAATGTGCTGTATCTCTTTGAAAAGCACAGTTTACGTGTAGCAGTATTCAAATACTAAATTATGTAATGCATAACCAGAAGTTAATCAGTGTAAAAAGTAGTCTCAGCTTAAAAGTGCAATGTAGAATAACGTAGTTTAAGTGATGTGCTTTAAAAGCTGAAATGTGAAGCACAGCCCACTTGCCTATTAGGTTTCAGTTGTACATTTATTTCTGTTTTGTCCCTCAGTTTGTCAAATACACAAGTTATTTTCTGTTATAAATGACAACAGGCCACAGATACAGGCCACAGTTCTCGTCAGTGCTAATCATGCCTAGAGTTAATGTCAGTGAGCATGTGTAGGTTTATCTTACCTGCAGGGAGATCATATTCCAGAAACACTTCAGTGCTCATAGTGTCCCTTTACAGAATAACAGAAAGGTTCACAGGACTATAAGAACCAAGCAGCTCATTTGAGCTACATACCTTTTTATAGTTGCAGCTCTAAAATATTTTATCGGGCAGAATGTAGTCAAAACCTATAGTTGTTTTATGCTCTTTAAATGGTGTTTTACATACTAAAATAAAAGAGGCATATCAAGTTAAAGGTTATTGATTTCTCAATGTGTCTTTGTGACCCAGAAAACAGTGTTGTTCTGTAATCTTTGGGTTAAATGGACTCTCTGTTAAGAACATAATCCCACATTGCATGGGTGGTGTAATATTGCGGAGTTAATCTCTTTTAATCTTAAAAATGCTGAATTTGGTAATATTTCATCCAACCAGGAGATGCCGTTTTTCTCTTGTGGGATAAATACACAGCTGCAGCTTTTAATGTCCAGCAGAGGGCACAATAGAACAAGATTTGAACTGATAATGAGTCCATGTGTTTGTCTTTGTAAGGTTATCAGCAGGGGTTTGAATTTGGATTTTGGAGCCAATGGAACATTAAAATCTGGTGGTGACCCCTTTAAGTATGACTTGGGTGTCCAAATATTTGTTGGGCCACTAATATGGTTTAACAGAACATGGATTTTAAACATATCTCAGATGTTAACAGATATAATGCACTACTCCAAACAGAAAGGATATTTGTTCTCTAAGAACATTAATTGTGACCAGTGGCCTTGGATATTTGAACAAGGAAGGTTTGCATAAAGCAGTGGTTCTCAACCAGGAGGCAAGAAGCCTCATGATGATTTAAAATAATTTCAATTAAGATAAAACAACTACAAATATAGATATTTTGCAAGTTATTTTTATCTTTTGTATTTTAATTCATCCCCTGTTTGTTTTATTCAAAGACAACCTGTATAAATGAGGAAGTGTTGTTTTCATACCTGAAAAGTTATGCAAATATATTACTAAATTCTTTAAATTTTTATATATATATATATATATATATATATATATATATATAAAAACACATATAT